TTAATACTTACAGATGGCAAAAAATAAAAGTTGATGTCACTAAAGGATGGTGAGGATGTAGAACAATAGGAACTCTTTACCACTGCTGTTGGTGAAGGGGCTGGTAATATAGGACCTAAGGCAAATAATTTGACAATAAGCAGTGAAGTTGAACATACGATGTCTTTGACCCAGAAATTCTACCTTCTTACACATGTCCAGTAGGCAAGATGGGAAATTATGTTAATAGAAGCTTTTTGTGTGATAACACGCTATTGGATATAAGACAAATTTCCAACAACGGCGTAAAGGACAAAAACTTTACACCATTGACAGCATGTTCTTTCAGTGGTGTATGATACAACAATGTAAGTGTACTGCAAAACAGATTAAATTCAAAAATACGATTTTAAGTGAAAAAAAGGCAGTTTGCCCAAGAATAGATAAGATTTATCTAAAAATTTTAAAAATGAGAACTATATATCATATAAGGATATTAGATATGTGGGAAAATTAGAAATGAAGGCAAGCAAATGATAAACACAAAAAGTCAGGGTAATGGTGACCGCTTGGCAAGGGGTAGAAGGACAGTGTGGAAGGAGCACAGAGGGCTTCTGCATTGGTTCTGTTCTAATTATTAAACTGGTGGTGGACACTGGGGTGTTTTTATTCTCATACTTTATAACTTGCATGTATGTCACATTATTTTACATGGGTCAAGTATTTCTTAACTTGAAAAATAAAAGTAATCATTGACTCTAACTATATTCTTTTTGACAGACCGTTATTAGCTGTACTTATTAAGTGACAATTAAACTTTTCCCACTAACATGCTTTTTATGTTGCTTTTTCCCTTAAAAATCTACTTACTAATGAATTTACCTGTAATGTGAAGGTTCCTTTGGAACCTGGTTTCAGTCTCATCTTAAGTCTCCATGACCTTGCTAGACTTTAATTTTGTCATCTTCAACATTGAGATATAGTCCCTAATTCATAAAGTTGTTGTGAAGATTATACATGTACATCTTATTGAAACGGATGTTAACAGTTATGTCTTCATTCAGATTCTTTCATCAAACACATGTTGACCATCTGCTGTGCTACAGATGCTGTAGGGGGTACAAAATGAATAGGATGTAATGCCTCTCCTCCAGGAGCTAGATTTATTCACACACAACTAGACAGTGCTGCCGTAGGGGAGGTCATTGTGGAATAGAAGCTGTTAAAGAGAAAGGAATTGGTTCTGTAAATTCAAGGGAGGCTTCAAGGAGGTGGCGGCCTGTGAGTTGAGCCCCCGATGATCTGATTTTTTTTGTTTGCTCTCGTGTATGCAAAGCTCCCCATCATCGTTCCCACTTTCCACTAAACACTCTAAGTATTTCAGGTGAGTCACCACAGTCACCTAATGAATGGGGTGTGGCTGTGAAGGCCTCATCCATACCATACCTTTGCCTCTCTCACTTGCTCTTGCCTCCAGTGGAAGCCATCCACAGTTGTCCGTTTTAGTAGATGGACCTTAGTATCACAGGGACGTGAAATCCTCCTTAGTTGTTGGTGGATAGGATAAATAGATTCCACTTTACCTTTGTCTAGACTCGGGCAAAGTAAGGGCCCTAAAAATGCCACATAAATATTTTTGGGGGGAATGTTATGTCTCCATGAATCATCTGGCTTAATTAGACTCGCCCTTTTGTATCCTTTTTTTTATGTGACCAAGAGAACCAGTAGCTGACAAATTTACTGACCCAGAGAGAAACTTCTGGTAAACAGCTAATACTTACTGGATACCAGCTCCAGCAAGCCACAGTGTTAATTTTTCTTTCTGAATGAACCAATCATTGCTTCAGATATAGAAGCATCTTATAACCTTCTGGTTTGTTAAAATCTTCGGAGACGATGTTTTTAAGCTTTCGGCATAATGTAAGCTGTCTTTCATTATGGGAATTTAATAGAGACAAGGGAAAACCTGTGTGCAGCTTCTCCAGAGATTCTTCTTGAAAGCTCAGTTCTTCTAGGAAAAAAACATTTTTAAAGGGAAGGTGTCTATTTTCTTATCTTCTAGAATGAGCCCTTTGAAACATTAGTCAAGCCATGCATACCCTTTCTCTACCGCTGGAGGCTACCCCTCCAATGGCATCCTAGAAAACAAATCTGAAACTCTTTCTGTGGTTTACTAGACTACTCCACAATCTGCCCTCACTTCCTGCCACTTCCCGTCACACACTAGGGCCCAATCCTTGATCTTCACCTCGCATGTTCCCGAAGGTTAGAGCCTTTGTGCTAGCTCTTTATCTGTCAGAATCATCCTTGCTCAGATTTTTACAGAGCTCTCATTCTTATTTCATGCAGATTTCTGCTCCAATCTGCTCAAATGCTACCTCCTCAGAGAGACTTTTCTGATCACCCCATTTAAAGTATAATTCCTGTTGATCTCAGTACCTAACTGCTGTACGTTTCTCCATTGCATATATCACTATTTGGCAATATTACATATGCTATGATATATTTTTTTATTTTTTTTATTGAAGTATAGTTGATTTACGATGTTGTGTTACTTTCAGGTGTACAACAAAGTCATTCAGTTATATATATATACATAGGTATACATGTGTATACACACACACACACACACACACACACACACACACACACACACATATACGTTCTTTTTCAGATTCTTTTCCCCATGGGTTATTACAAAATATCGAGTATAGTTCCCTGTGCTACACAGTAGGTCCTTGTTGGTTATATGATATTATATTTTTTATAAGAAGACTGGGGGCTTTGTCTGTACCCTGGTGATTGGTACATAATGGTTTCCAATAAATATTCATTGAATGAACAAAGGAAAGAACTTACATTTCTATTGACTAGAAGATAAGGGGTTAAAGAAAAGATTGAGGCTTTGTGGTGGTATCCCTGCTGGTACAAGACAGAGGTAGTATGAATTTTTATAGAAAATACACAGAACTTCACATCAGAAGATCTGGGACCTTCTATATTTGGCACATGACTTTGAATAGGTCTGAGCATCAATTTCCTCCAACCAAATGGATTAGACTAAAGTTGATAAGATCAAAGGAGATAAAGGAAGTGGTAAGTTTTCATAAATCTTAAAATCTTAATATAATTATTGCCATCTCTTTGGGTCAATATGTAAATACAAAAGCAAAATCAGGTACTCAAATTAAAATTTCTTACTTTCAGAACTAGAAAAGCTCTCCTAAACATCTAATGAACTTCCAGTCATCCTTACATGGGAAACTTAAGTGCAGTTTAAAAAATGAGTTGAAGGGCTGTTACAGAACTACAAAATATAATATTTTCATACATGCATGGATGCAAATGAAATTGTAAGCATTGCTTTCTTGTTTCTTAAATTTCAGTCTTTATAAAATTAGCTAAGATTTTCATATTGGTTCTTTAGCTGAGGAATAAGTAGATATGCTAATTTCAGCTAGTTACAAATTTTAATTTCATAATATTCCCAGCCATCTCTTAGGTACAATCTTTGCGAGTCATTCTGTGTAGATAAAAGAAAAGAGCAAAAGCCCACTTCAAATTAGATTGTTTAAATTCCCTTTTTTCTAATAAGGATATCCTTGCTGTTATGTGATAAATACCAAAAAGCCTTAGTAAAAAGGTAAATTTCTAAGAGATTTTTAAACATATGACAAATGTTTTAAATATTAATATTTGAATAAATAAATGAGGGCTAGATTTTATAGTTCACTGATTCATATTTTTTTAGGTGAGGGCCTATTTTGATGTGTTAACCTGATTTATTTAATTTTTTTAGCCAAGATTATTGCCATATTATTGAGATAGTCCATGTATAATGAATCTATTCAAATGTGCATGTTGAAGCCCAACTATAATTTATGTGTCTGTTTACTTGGAGGTGGAGGGTGGTTTTACTAAAATAATATCTTTATGTATTAGAGATGAAAAGTACATGCTAAATCGCCCCTGTGGAAGGAAACCAACTTTGTTTTGCAGGGCAAGACTTCAGTCATATACACTGCCTCGATTTAATGAGTGGGTCTTCTGTTGCTCCAGCTTTCTTTCCTGTCTTTATTCAGTTCACGGAGTTCATTGAATAGAGTCTCAGAGAAGTGGAAGGGCCTATCCTGAAAAGAGAGAAGAGGGTAGCAGCCATTCATCACGCTGGGAGAGTTCCTAACCCTCAGTCAGTGCTGAGCTCAGATGTCACTTTTTTTTTTTTTTTTTTTTTTTTGCCTCTTTGAGTTTATACTTCGCATAATCTTTTACTATATCCTGTCTCACATGGCAGTTTTTTAATCACATCTGTTTAAGTATTGCCAGCACTCTGAGCTTCTCCTAGTCAGCACTGTATCTGTAGCACAGAGCCTGGCCTACTGTGAGTGCTGACAGTATTTTTGCAGAAAAAGTTAATGCAAGTGCTACCACCCTGAGAGAGACTGAGGGTGTACAGAGTTCAGCCAAAGTTGAGATGGGATGATCCTTGCTTTTACTTTGGACTGCCAGCATTTAGAGGGTGCAGACATTGTGCATATTTTTAAAGACTGTCCAGAATTTTAAGCCCCTCTTCTTCTCAACAACGGTCCCTTTCCCAAACTCTCAGTTCTGCTATCATTTTTCCTTTTATGATGAAGCTCAAAGGGCGCAAGTGTCTATCACTTCCCCCTTCTCTCTTCTTGCCAATGAATACCACTATTGATTTGCAAGTTACTTGTCTGCTTGCCCTGACCTTCACCTTGGTTGTAAGGGTCTCTCCTTGCTAAACCATCCCTCTCGTCCTCGTGGGCGTAGAGGTGTGTGTGTGGAATTTTCTCCAATGTAACGAGATTTACACTTGGCCCTGCAAAAGAATAAATGAGAGGGTCAGTGGAGTGTGTGTGTGTGTGTGTGTGTGTGTGTGTGTGTGTGGTGTGAAGGGGAGGGTGGAGGTGTTGAAAGAAGATTGAAGAAGTTAGCGGAAGACAAAGAAGAATGTGAGTTTTACGGTCTCTGAAAATTTCTTTGATCTTCTTTTCCAGGTTGACTTTGGATTTGCTAAGAAAATAGGATCTGGACAGAAAACATGGACGTTCTGTGGAACTCCCGAGTACGTAGCTCCTGAAGTCATTCTCAACAAAGGACATGACTTCAGTGTGGATTTTTGGTCCCTGGGAATTCTAGTGTATGAGCTCCTCACGGGCAAGTAAGTGCCTTGTGTTTTGTCTCTTCTTTAGAGAAGTGCAAAAATAACTTACTAATGATAAAAAATATATGATTTAACATTTTGGAAGTGTTTTTGATTAAGCATGATGCCTTCTCCTCTTCACGTTATGTCATATATAACATGCTTTCTCGCTTGTAACATGGTGAAAAGATTCAGGAAGGTGCAGGAAAGGAGTACAAAATTGCTATGGTTTACCTAGAATGGCAAGGCCTGTTATTATAGATAATACATCAAGTGTGTGAAGGTTTGGGGAATCCATCATAAAAATAAGAAAGGAAATTGAAGTTGTGGGCTGTTATTATTTCCTCATATTTTTTTTTGTAGTCGAAAAAATAGCAATCATAGTTCCATTAAATCCGTTGATCAATTAAATTTGGCCGTGTTCTTCCATTTTCACAATAAATCATTAACCAGAAATGCTGAAAGAAAGCAACATTGCTGGATTTAAATTTTAATCCCCTTGTCAACTGCTTTCTAGAGGTGCTAATGAACAGAGACAAGACACAGCAGGAGTTTTACAAGTTAAAATTGGATTGCCATTCCTGAAGCGATTAAAGGGCTGTATTAATGAATCCAGGATCCCAAATATTCAACCTGCCTGCACACACATACACACGTATATGCACACATGTACACACACATATTACCTCACATTTGTAAAGCCCTTGACAACTTACAAAGCACTTACATGTGTATTATCTAATTTCGTTTTCACAAGCTTGTATGGAAGTTAAAGCAGGAACTGTTTATTATCTTATGATTTAAATTTGCATTATGATTATTTTATGACTTAAATCTTATAGATTAGAAAACTGGGTCAAAGAGCTACTTGCCTAAGATCAAGGATTTAATCTCAGGTCTTTTGACTCTAAATATGACACACTTTTCATTAAACACGTGTGCCTTATACATAAGAGTTTTTAATATAATGCATGGCTGTATACACAGAATTCAGATCAGGTAGTTTTCTTTCCGGTTTTCTACCTCCATTTCTCATTAACTGATTTGGTCATTCTTTTAAGCCTTTACAACCAAATATTCTCAGTCTTGAAGTCAGGGAGGATTTGCATTTGAAATGGCATAAGAAATGCTGGAATGAGCCCAGTGATGGGGATTCCAGTCTTAACACCTGCGTTACAAAAGGAGAGATTTGTAGAATCTTCTTGAACTTTTTACACTGCAGATTTCAGTGTAAAAGAATGGCTCCATTCTTTTTCCTTGTCCACATGAAAGATTATTTGATATTATCTGTAATCATTTTCAAATATTCATTGCTTAAGATCTTGAAGTAAAAAAGAGAAAAATTTCCAGGTAGTCATTCAGAGATAAAGTTGATTAAGGTCTCAGGACACAAGGATTTCTATTTCAAGAGTTTGTTTCCTCATCCCTGGAAAATTTGTCAGCTGCATTTCTAAGACATTCATGATGGCTCTTGTAGGTAACTGGAGAATATGCATTTCAGTCTTCGTCAGCTGGAATAAATTGTCACAAGAAGTAGGGAAATAAAGTGAGAGAATAAGGAAGGGGAAAAAATCCTCAATAACTTGGAGTTGCTGAAGTGACCTTGAGCTGTCATGAAGAAGGTGCAAAATTGCTGTTATAGAGGCTTTTCGGGTAGGGCGTGAGAAAAGTTCATTTTAAATGCCCTAAAGGCAGGAGGTAAAACAAAAGAACTAAAAAACCAAACCAAACCAAAACACAACCTACTTGTAAATATATAAATAAGCTGAAGGAATTGTAGCAATGGTTTTTGTTTTCTACCTCATTTTCTTTCCAAGTGAAACATGGATTATTGAAAAGTTGGTGCACTGAACTTGTTTCAGGTTCATTACCAAGAGTGGGAACTCTGGTATCCAAAGGTCTCAAGCGTGACCAAGATACAACAGAGTCATTCATGAAAATCATCTTTAATTTTCAAAAATTAAATGATACAATAGAATAGGTATGAAAGTGTTTTTAAAAGCAGAGTCCATGCATGAACATGTTATCCAAATCCAACGGTTAATTTCCAGTGCTTTCTTACTCATCTTAGCAACACTTGCCTTGAAATTCTCTCTTCGTGCTAGAGGCTGCAGCTCAGTGTCTGTTGCTGGATTCTTCTTGTCATCCTGACCTTCTTCAGTGGTCATCGGGCCACTACAGTCCTTGACCTCTTTCCTACCCACTCACTCCTTGGGTGATAACATCAAGCCCCGTGGCCCATAGATACTGTCTGATGACTCCCCGGAATCATACCTCCAGCCCTAACCTCTTCCCTGAATGTCAGACTCATAAATGCAACTGTCTGCTTAGCATCTCTATTTGGATGTTCAAGATGCAACTCGATTCTCTTCCTCAGAACCTGCTCTGAACCTGCGCACTCCCAGCCTGACCTCCACACCAGTAACAGTAGCTCCGTTCCATAGGTCAAAACACTTCAGTATCATTCTTGAATCCTTTCTTTCTCCTGCATACCACATTCACCTCAGTAGCAAATCCTGTTGACTTTATGCCATCGAAATAATCCAGAATCCCACCATTTCTCACCACCTTCACCACTACTGTTCGAGTCCAGGCTACCAGGCCTGCCTTCCCCCACCGCTAGTACCATCACAGTTTATTTTCAACACATTTTTTAAAAGCTTACTCTGGCTTCTGTAAATTAGATCACCTGACCTGAGCGTATCCCCAGGTCCTTCCCATAGCCCGCTAGATCGAGATGACCATGCTGCCCTTACCTCTTATACTCTCTCCTGCTTCCTCACTCCACCAGCAACACTGCCCTCCTTTCTGTTCCAAGAACAACCCATGTCCACTCCTGACTCCTGGCCTTTGTACTTGCTGTCTTGGAATCCCTTGCCTGTGTGGCTCATTCACTCCCACCTCTGCTCAACTGCCAACATATGAGAGATGCTTTTCCTATCCACTGTGTCTAAAAAAAAACACACCTCCTCTCTCTCACTCTCTGTCCTCCCCTTTATTTTTCTTTTTAGTGATTATCACCACTTGACAGATTACCTCTGTGTGTATGTGTGTGCGTGTGTGTGTGTGTATTTTGTTAAGTTATATGAAATTATTTTCTAGCATATATCCAGTTTTTCTATAAAACAACTCATGAGAGGGAGGGAGGGAGGGAAAAAAAGAAAAGAAATTTAGTTGTAAATGTGTCTCAGATGCTGGTCCTAGTGTCCTATTTTGGCTTTTCTCTAGCCCGCCCTTTTCTGGGATTGACCAAATGATGACCTACAATTTGATTCTCAAAGGAATTGAAAAAATTGATTTTCCCAGAAAGATAACCAGACGACCTGAGGATTTGATTCGGAGGCTTTGCAGGTGAGAATGACTATTAAAAACCCCTTGTTCTTGGCGGAAGGTGTGAAGGCTTCTCATTTCTGCTGCCACACATTTTAAAGTTAGGTGTATATTTACTTTTTGTACTTTTCTATGTAGTTAAATTATATTTAATGAAAATCATTTTCTATTTTGCCGTCTGTGCTAGAAGTTTGAGTTTCCTTCATGTAATACACAGTACCTACTTATAGTTTAAAAGAGATGCAGATTGTTCAGATTATCTTTGAGAATCATCTTTGTCTGTTAGAGGAAAATAGAACCACAAAACTTAGCTTAACAAAGGAGTAGTTTACAGCCTCGTTATTTTGAAAATTAGTGGCGATGATAAAGTGTTGCTATATGCCCTCTTTCAGTCTTCATTTAAAAAAAGTACTTCTATTTTAAATTACTCCAAATTTCTACTTACCACTAAAAATAATTTATTGGAGAACAGAAGACTTCTAGAATTTTGTTTAAGCTTCATTTTGTTGCAGTTTTCTTGCACACTTGAACTTTTTAAAAAGCTTTAAAATTTAGTAAATTTAAAACATGAAACCTAGCTGTGAGTTGCCCACAGAAATTTCTACATGCTTCTAAACTTTCAGCTCTGTTGTAAATGATTCTCTAAAGCTTTCCCTGGTTTCCTTAGCAGACTTGGTAAGGTGGCATCCTCCTGTTTATTTATTTATTCATAGCTCATTTAAAGCACTGGGAGGTACCTATATCTATATATCCGTATGTATATACCTATATCTCTATATTGGGATATATAGATATTGAATACATATATTCATATTCCTGACTGTAATTTGACTGTGGCTCCCCCAGGGGGGGCATGTGTTTTCCATCTCCTTTATACTCAGATGTGCCTGGTCTATGAATATTGTTGACAAAATGAATGAATGAGTAAAGAAAAATTGTTAAATTTTAATGTAAAATTCACTCAAACATAATTATTATAAATTGACTTAAAATTTTTATTTTAGGCAAAACCCAACAGAAAGACTAGGAAATCTGAAGAATGGAATCAATGACATTAAGAAACACAGGTACATAGTTACTTCTTTGCCCAGAAAAATCTAGAAATTTATTTTTAAAGTGTGGTAATCTTGAAGCTTCTCTCAGTCTGTAAAGATCCCTACACAGATGATCAAGTTTTCCCTTTTGGTGCTTTATTTTTAATTTGTGTTTTACTAGCTGCGATGAAGTTATAAAACAAATTACAAAGTCACATATTCAAGTTATAGCAACTTAGCTTTTTATCTGCTGCAATCTCCATTATTATTTTTTAATATTAACTTGGATTCTATAAAGGAATCAAGTTCTAATTTTGACGTTTCATTTACAGTTAAAGTAGGATAGTTATTGTTCTCAATATTCTAGAGAATGGGTCAGCTAAACCAACTGTTAAATAGTATTCTATTTCAGTTTTAATTAATATTATATATTTATTTTAAATATAATTTTCCTTTGACCAGCTCTCCACATTTTTAAGCTTCCTATCATATTTTACTTTTGGAGTAAAGTACATTGATTTCCACAAAACCTCAAACAGTGTTTTATCCTTATGTAATAATCTAAAAAGCACCTTTTTCATGTCTGTGAATTTCTAAAGCTGGTCTTTAAAACCATCAATAACTTCCATAATATAAACTCTCTGATTTCATTCCATATGTGGAAGTTCAGGCCTTGGAGTTTTTTGGGTTTTTTTTTAATCTATGCCTAGCTAAATCCTGCAATCCTTGAGATGTTTTGATTTTGCTTATGATTTACAGAAGTGAAACATCACCTATTGATAGTACAAAAAATAAATTTGAGAATTTCATTACTGAAAACCGTTGAGCACACTGCTGTGTGCACTTTCAGAAAGAAAAACACCTCTCAACATTTTATTCCTCTCTGGATATTTTTACTGAAGAATTAGGGGCACATCAACACAGTGTGAAAATAAAGGGAGAGATGCTGCTGAATAGAAACAACTATTCGTTTTTCTGAACAGTAGTGGTGCAGCTCAAAAAAAAAAAAAAAAGTCCCCAAGCTGCCAGCCCTGCTCTATCTATTCATGAACTTTCTTGAAATAAAGCCATGTATTCAACATTGTAAATTCATATCGGGCTCTGCCATAAGGATATATCAGGACGGGGATGGGGAAGCAGGGAGGGAGGAAGAGATGGAGACAGACCCATCTGTGGATTTTATAGACATCAAAATACGTATTTTATTGTTCTTTGTCATCTTTTGGATTGTCTTTAGTGTAAAGCTCATTATTTGTCTTAGATTCCAATTTATCTCTCTTCCTACGTGCTGTTATCACAGTTTCTTTTCTCATGATACAATGAAACATAAGCACACCGTTCATATTGAACAAACAAGTGTCCAGTCAGTTAAAGTCCCCCTTCCAATGTATTTCCTCTTTTATCTCATTAAAGAAGCATCTTCATGTTTGCTCTGGGGTAGTTGGGAAATAGAAGTGATATAATTGTTAACAGGTTCCCGTTTTATCTCTTACTTCTCATTTACCTGAGGCTCATTTAAATATAGCTGTCAAATTGTGATTAGATGTACATGCAGACTCATGCTAAAGGATTTTCTCACTTCAGCATGGTAATGAAGAATTTTGAATCTCCTTCCCAATAAGGATTAATTTGCCCACTCTTCTTAACAGACAGGTGTTCTTTGCCAAGTATACAGCTGCAGCTGCTGTGTGTGGGGCAGAGTTCACTAATAAGATGTACCAAATTTACACAGTGCCTTCCGGTGAGCTCAGGGAGATCAAAAGCATTATTTCATCTGATTTTCATAGTGCTTCTTAGCATACAAAGATGGGGCACGGGGGTCTGAAAAATAGAGCTCTCTTTGCTTTCAAATAGGAGTCTTCTATAACCTTCCTTAAGTCTCCAAGGCATATATAGCTTCACTACCCAGTATATTCTTGTAATGTTTTTTAAAAAAACATTCTTTCTAAAATTTGCCATCAGATTTTCCCACTCCTCTCTAAAGTAAAACATCTTTTTTCCTTGGAGAACCATTTATTTCAATTTTGTATTTAAAAACAATACAGTTAAACGTGGCATATTGTTATATGTTTGTCCAGTCTGTGTTAAATCATCTTTCTTAAAAATAGAGTTCCTCCCTCTCCTATTTGTAAGTTAACTTACAAACTAGGTACCAATCATGTCTTCCAACACCTCTCTGAAAAGAGGGATAATATTGTTGTAGGGTACAATTGAATCTTTCCTGCTAGGTAGAGGAGTAATTTGTTTCAGGTCTCTTAATATTACCTTTAATATTTCCAGTCTCTAGAATTTTACTCTCAAGAATAGCTACTACTCTTCTAAAAATGAAGAAGCAATTTATGTACAGTTGCTGCTAATATTTCTTTAGTGAATATTTTTCACACACGACTGCGTGCTGGCACTTGGATTACTTAAAATGTGGTTAGTGTCAAAAGGGCCAGGTGTTAGGTGAATAACCACTCATGTTAAGTAAATATTGCCATGAGTCAAATTGTAATAAGTACTCAGCAAGAAATGCATAGGCTCTTTGATTCAGTAGAGTAACAGTAGTGATTTTTATTAATATTTATGGAGTAGCATCTGGGTAGAGAGCATTGTAAAATATGTGAAAAGGAATTGTGTCAGTTATCTGTGGCAAAAGAAAAGAATCCACAGAACTGTGTGCCTATAAATCCCTAAAACTTGAGCCTCGGTCTGTGCAAAGAAGGTGATGGGTGGATCATGGAGAGGACTTCTGTGGTTTTGCAGCAAGGACAAGGGAAGTCATACATCTAGGATTGCTCTCCGACGCTCACTCTTTGCTTAGAGACTGAACAGTGTAGAGCAAAATGGCACTTTGGGTTAAGAATGGCATCTGAAATGGAATGTACTAAGAGCCCGCCCTCTGTTTTTAGTACTTTTTCCCTTGCTAAGCTTAGACTTGGAATGGGAAATCCAGTCAAGGACTGACCCAAAACCAACTCCACGAGAGGGAGGAGATTGAAAAAGGTAGAAAAGGGTAACTTCGGATACGGTTGACAGACCGATGAATACGAGGGCCTCCTAAACTCTCCCAGCCTTCATTCTGATACCTCCCACCACCACCCTGACCTGTCACGCCCCCGCTGCGGTTATTCTTCACATAGCAGCCGGAATCGTCTTCTGAAAACATATTTAGATTGCATCACTTCCTTACAACTTTCTACTGGCTTCCCGATAAGCATAAAATCTTGATCCCTTGTGTTCTACAAGACCCTATAGGATCTGGCCTCTGGCTGGTCCTCAGACATCATATTTTTTCTCTCGTTTCCCCTCCACTCACCACACTTCAGCTCATTCCTATCACTTTCTTCCATTCAGAAGGTCACTGCCACAAATCTTCCCATGGCTTCTCCCTTCTCTTCATTCTGACCTTAATTCAAATATGACTTCTTCAGATAGCACCCTAGCTAAAAGCAGCATCTCCCAACCCATCCGTATCCCAGTCATCATCCACCATTTTATTCTCTTTTATCTTCCTAGTACGTATTAGTATATGAAATTAATGTAAATGTTCGTATTGTTTACTGTTTTGTTTGATTACTTGTCACCTCCTGCCAAAATAAAAATATCTTAAAAGCAGGGTCTTTGTTCTTTTTGATGCCTGGGGCCAAGTTGACTTTCCATAAATTTTTGTTGGCTGGCTGACCTGACCTCAGTGTCCCAATAGAAAAGATCAGTGGATTTAAACAGTATTATTCCAGGTTCTTTATAAGATTCTGAGAGACAGAGTACGTTGTTTCTGTCTGAGAGGAGCAAGTCCTCCTCATTTCTGGTGTTGCATTTCCATCTCACCAAGTCTGATACTTATCCTAAAGACCAGATCAGTCCTTCTTTTTAGATTAATAGTTTGGAAGCAATAAATGAAAGAACTTCATCTGGCCATCGGCCTCCTCTCATTACAGATAACTGTAAAATACTTTTTATCTTGGAGCCTCTTATATACATTTCACCAATAGCATCACCACCATGGCAGTGTGATACTGTAAGACATGATAGTTAGAGGTCCTATGTAAGGGTGTTCTCTTGTAGAGTCATTCAGTTATTCAACAGACATTTATTGGAGCCCCTGTTTTGTGTCAAGTACTGTTGCAAGTGTTAGGGTCACAGAAGGAAAGGAAACAGACAAAAACCCCTGCCCTCACGGAGCTTGCATTCTAGTTGGGGAGACAGAAAATAAAGAAAATAATTAAGTGTATAGTAGGTGTATTAGAAGGCAGTAAGTTATAAGGAGAGAAAATAAAGTATGGAAGGAGGATGGGAAGTACATGGGGGTGGGGTTGGGGAGGGGCTGCCATGTTAGACTGGATGGCCAACGAAGGCCTCTCTAAGAAGATGAGCTTCGAGAAAATACCTGAGGGTGTTGAGGAGACAAACCCTGTGGAAATCTGGGGTAAGGACAATTCAGCTACAGGGGCTCAAGTGCAAAGGTCATGAAGTGGGGACATCCCAAGCTTGTTGGAAGAATGTTGAGGAGACAAAGGAGCAAAGAGAGAGAGAAAGAGAAAGGTAGGGCAGTGGCAGGGTGGTGGAAGGGTGGTGGTGGAAAGGGTGATAAGGCCTGTGGGTTTTAATAAAGACATGGTAATGACTTTGCCTTTTACACTGAGTGAAATTGGAAGCATTGGACAGTTTTGAACAAAGGCATGATGTGAACAAAGGCTGCAATGGCTGATGGCTTTAGGCAGGCAACATTTAGTGTTTACTGGGATGGCAGGCTGCAGGTTTTTTTGTCCGCAGTTGATACAGCGATTAGATTACTCTTTCAAGTTTTCCTCCAAACTTAAAATGTTGGAGGAAACCTTTCCTCCAAATGACTTGCATTTTAAATGATCACCCTTGCTGCTGGGCTGTTTCCCATGGACAAAAGCAGGAGGACCTGTTAGGATGTTATTATACTAATACAGGCAAGAAATAACTGTGGCTTGGCCCAGGCTGGTAGAGTGGAGGTGTTGAGTATTGGCCAGGTTCTGAATACCAACGTATTTTGAACGTAACAGACTAGATTTACATATGGACTGATATAGGATGTGAGAGAAAGGATAACTCCAAAGTCGTTGGTTTGAGCAACTGGGAGAGTTGAGGGAAGTTCGTTGGGGAAAATTTGGAGCTTCAATGTGGACCTGATACAGCTAGATGCCCGTTAGACATCCAGTGGGGAGATGGTGAATAGCACTTGTAGCTAGCAGCCTGTTAAGCAGTGTGTGTGTGTGTGTGTGTGTGTGTGTGTAAGGGGGCAGGGTGGTGGTGGAAATAGCAGTTTGGGAGTAATCAGTTTATACATGCTATTTAAAGGCACAAGAGTGAATGAGATTTCCTAGAAAGTGGGAGTAGTTGGAAGAAGAGGTCCAAGGACTGAGCCCCAGATCATGCCAACTTCCTATGGAAATAGCAATGGAAAATGAGAGAAAGCACCCAAGATGGTAGGAAGAAAGCCAGGAAAAGGGCATGTCTCTGGCGCCAAGTGAAGAAAGTGTTTTGGGAAGTGTGAGTGATGAGCTGTGCTAAGAGTAAGATGAAAACTGAGAATTGAGGGAATTCGCTGGAGTGGAGAGGGTGAAGCCTGATTGCGGTGTGCCCAGGAGAAAATGGGTAGTGTCGACTGAAGAAAAACACACAACCTAAAAGTTGCAAGTTATGTTTTATTTGGAGACCTTATTGAGCACTGTAGCCCAGGAGACAACCTCTCAGCTCTGAGGAACTGCTGCAAAGAAGTAAAGGAGGAATCAGGATATATAAGAGTTTTGGCTTTAAAAACAAAAACATGTAGTACAACATTGGAAGTTTACTGCTGAAGTGGGGAAGGGCCATATAGGGGTTGGGGAGTAAGAGGTACAAACTATTAGGTATAGAATGAGTTACAAGGATATATTGTACAACACAGGAAATATAGCCAATATTTTGTAATAACTATAGATGGAGTATAAGTTTTAAAAATTGTGCATCACTGTATTGTACACCTGTAACTTACATACTGCTGTACAGCAACTATACTTCAATTTTAAAAAGAAAAAGAAAAAAAATTGACCGCTAATCACAAATAGAAGACATCTCAAGTCAACGATTTTACTGCTTTTCTAGATATGGGAAGATGTAAGAGTTTGGGCTCCTTGAAATTACCCCTTAGATATGCATCTTAACTATCTAGGGCCAGTATTCAGTTTTTCTCCATCCTGAATTCCCCATCAGGTGGCTTCAATGGCTGACGGCTTCAGGGCAGGCAACATTTAGTGTTTAGCGGAGTAGCAGGCAACAGTTTTTTTGTCCGCAGTTGATACGGTGATTCGATTACTCTTTCAAGTTTTCCTCCAGTGGGAAGAGAGAAATGGAATGAGAGTTGGAGGGGAGTTCAGGTCAAGGGAGATTGCTTTGTGGTTGGAAGAATTTAAATGTTTCCATACTGATTCGAATGCTCCAGGAGAGACGATGTTAAAGATTCAGGAGAGAGGAGAATTTAAGGAGCATGTCTGAATAGAGAATGTCTACAAGATCAAATACACAGCAGAGGAGCTGACCTTAGTGAGAAGCAAGGGCAGTTCATTCATGGTGCAGTAGAGAAAGGGAACACACAGATGTGCGTACACAGGCAGGTTTGCTGCTGGAAAACTGTAGAAGTTCTCTTTTCTGCTCCTGGTTTCTTAGTGAAATAGGAAGTCAGGCCTATCATTTGGGAGGGAAGATGGATAGGAGGTCTGAAATTTGAGGAGAGAGGACGAAGTATGGATTATGAGTCTAAGGGAGTGTGACGAGGGGAACAACAGGGGAATCTAGACTGACTGCTGGGCAGCATTAAAGGCCCCCCTGAGGGTAGTGGCCATGGATTTAATGTGAGAGACACACATGTGTGTGGGCATGGTTGGTATTTTCCTCTGATCACTTTCAGCTGTACTGTTGCAGGCAGGGAGCAGGCAACAAAATGGGTGGACAGATGACTTGACATGCTAATAGTTTACCAGATAAGTAATATTTCTCTGTACTTTTCTGATTTCTCAGATGGTTAAATGGTTTTAATTGGGAAGGACTGAAAGCCCGGAACCTTCCATCACCTTTACAAAGAGAGGTATGGTATCTACTATATTACTCTCTTGATTTTTTTCCAAGTATTTGTTTTTGTAAACAGGTTTTAGGGGTGTGTGTGTGTGTGTGTGTGTGTGTGTGTGTGTGTGTAGAATAGATTAAAAAAATTTTTTAACAGTTTTTAAATTTAAGTGAAAATGTCTTTGCAATTGTGACTATATGGTCTAAATAGCATTATGTATTCAATAGACCTTAGCTCAGCTCTTAAGAATGGATTACATGTAAATCTAAATCCCAAGGTAGCCAGTGTTGGTCAGGCTGACTGATGGTTCCAAAAATATAATAATATGAACCTATATGTAATTTAAAATTTTCCAGTAGCCGTATTAAAAAAGGTAAAAAGAAATGGGTGAAATTAATTTTAATTATCGTAATACATTAAATATTATTTCAACATATAACAAACACAGAATATTAATATATTAATAAAGATGTTACATTTATTTTTTTCATACTGAATTTTCAAAAATCCCAAGTGGTTTTTCCACTTTCAGCCATCTCAGTTCCGACTAGCTCTATTTCCAGTGCTCAGTCCCCATTGCTGGTTGGACAGCACAGCTCCAGAGAAAGCAGAACATCTGCTAAGTTGGGGAGGGAGGGGGATGGCTCAGGAATAATCTAGTCAACACCCTACAAATGATGTTATGTTGAGTTCTCTGTAAAGGAATTTTGAGGATATTTGTCTTTCTTTGTACCTTTTTAGATTGACATCTGAATTTTTTCATTACTCGTCTAAGTCATTATGGAAAATGTAATTTCGAGTATGTTGTAAATATTGACATTTTACAATAAAACATTACTCTTACTTTGCCCCTTTAAATATATCCAGTGTAATCTAAATGCCATTGAGATATGAAACCCATCAGCCATTTAAAAAATAGAAATATTACATGACTACTTTTTCTCTCTAAACTCCTATTTTTATGTTTCCATTAGATTTTCTCTATAAAATTTCATCCTAATGTAAAAGATTTTTATACTGGATGGTCTTCTATTAATCATTCTTTAAGTGCCTTTCAATTTTAGTTTTATAAAATTAAAAATTTTTGTGAGGATAAAAATTTCACTGGCAACACAAATATTTCTTCTAGATTCAGTTATAATTACATTTTTGTAGCATGTAGTATCAAACAACATACATATATTATAAATTTTTAAACAATTATTAAACGAAAATGTTTTGAAAAGAAATTAATATACTTGTGGATGAATATTATTTATTAAAAAATGGGATCAGATGCCACATCAATTCTATTTCTTTTTAAAATTATTTTTCTATAGATGAAAGTGCTAAGAGCTGTGTTCACATAAATAAGTAAATGAGAGTGGAGGATTTTATAATAGCAATGTCACTTTGAGCACCTTCTGGGTAGTCTCCTTATGCCCCCACAAAACTCATTATGATGGATCATAAATAGTATTTTTAGTGATCTATCAGCTGATAATTCAATTAGGTACTAATGAAGATTGTTTGAAAGCAAAGAATTGGAACCCACTTGATTTGCAAAGTAATTTAATACCAGAGTCATTTCACTCTTTTAACAAGGTCACTAGTATTTTGAATTGTCCCTTTGTTTGACATTCTGGAGAATTTATATGGGTCAATTGACCCTATAAAAATTCAAGATCAGTGAGAAACTTTATTATAAAGTGGAAGAAGGATTCTGGCAAATTTTGATATTTTTGATATTTCCTTTTAAAATATTTTCCAATTTGAAAAAAAGAGACATCATTTCTGTCACCTTTTCTTTCAGAAATAACTCCTTAAGCCAGGTAGCTCCTACTACATGTAATTCTGGGACCCGATCCATTTGTTCTAAAGGGGAGATCTCATGAGGCTGAGAGTGTGACTCAAAAATGATAACTGGTTATCTTTTCCTTATATGTACATTACAAGTGGTTGCAGTAGAAAATCAGTGTTCAGATACAGAAAGCATTCCCCATATGTTCTCGCATGCTTCGTCAATGTTATCCTCACCTTTGGTTTCATCCTTTTTCTACTAGCTAAGTGGACCCACAGATCACAGCTACTTTGACAAGTATCCTCCCGAGAAGGGGGTGCCTCCTGATGAGCTGTCAGGCTGGGATAAAGACTTCTGACAGAAGAAAAGATGATTACTGCCCTACATACACAAAAGGACTATAAGGACCAACAATCCAACACTGATTATTTCTCTTCAGAGTATTATACTATCTTTTAGAAGACCATTAGAGAAAAGAAATCCCTGCCCATGATCTGGGGGTGGGAAATAGTAGGTGCGGAGGTGGTTCTGAATGATAATGTCTCATTTAGATGCTGTGAATTACTCGTGTGTTCTGTTCTTTGCTTTTCTCAAATGTTGAAGGCTATCCTATTCCCCTCTTCAAAGTCAGAACCATTTTTGTCAAAGGGACATCATTTTCTCTGAAATCTGTTGCTCCGTCCTAATCATATTTGTCTCCTTTGAGGCCTAGTAAGGTTTAAAAAGTGTCTTGCCCTTGAGCAACTAAGTCATCCAAATAGAAGGAAGAACAAGGGTGAATTTTGGAAGATTTCCCCCGTTCTCAACAATCCCACGTAAGCATTATGGCATCTTGAAGTCATGGCTTGCGGTAAACTTGGTAGTCAACAGAAGTTCTTGATTTTCACCTGTGTTCAACCTAGAAATATATTGATAGGCTTCTGAACCTAGTCTGGGGAAAGGCAAATTTGAGTATTAGTCATTGGTGCCACTTTCTAACACAGATGAGTTAATGAATCCAGCCAGGTAATTATATTCTATTGGGGAACTTAGAAACAATAAACAAAGCAAAAAATATTTTTATTCTCCTGTGACCAGCTGTGATACCTCAGAGACTTTTCAAAAGTCTTGTTAAAGATGGTTATAATGTGTGGTTAATTGATGGGCCTTTGGAAAGGTTTTATCTTATATATTAAATATTTTCACAAGCAAATTAGAAAACATGCAGGAACTACATTGTGAAGGCTTTTCCTTCCCATTACATATGGAGGAGAAAATATTCTAAAAGCTATAAATGCTGACTCTTTGAAACTCTGAGATATTTTGGCCAGTTCTGTGATTGTTGCTATTAATAAACCAAGAGTATAGAAATAACCACAGTTAATTTTTAATGGGAATCCCATTGGCAAATATTGATGCACGCCTAATCACTGCTGCATGAATAACTTCTTAAGGAGACATTTGAGTCATGGGAGTGTTTATAATTTTAGATTGTTAAGGCAGGCAAGCCACTAGAGAAGTGATGGGGCGGTAAAAGGGACATCCAGCATCTGTCCCCCTCCTGGCTCCTCCCTGCAGTCTTCCAAATAACGAATAGATTTGTTTCAATAGCATTGGACACCAGTAATCTAAGAACTTTACTAGTAGAATGTTTTATGTGTCGATCATGATCATTCTCCCACCCTCCTTCCCAAATGGATGGGAAACAGATTTTCTCTTTATCTTTTTGATCTGGCAGAGTAAAAATAACGTCAAAGTTCCTGCATTATTCAAGCTTCTGGTTATACTTTCATATGCTAATGTTCTATAGGAAAAGCGTCGCTATCCACATCCACCCATATTTTCAGCATTCAGAGAGTCATCTATCTGCTTCTGAAGTGTTAAACCAGATAAGTGAGGCCCAACCCAGGAAGGTGCATCCTTCACAAATTAAATGTCCACATTTAGAATCCTTTTGCTGAACCAAAGAATTTTTGTTTCCTGTAGTAGTATTTTTAAAGTTTATGTATTGTACATAGAAGAACCATTTTTAATAGGATCAACATAACCCGCTTAATGAATTTCTAAGATTTTTTAAAGATTTTTATTTGAATTTGGTTTGTAAGCACTGTATGCTTTTCCATGTATATATTTTTAAATTACCCACCTATAAATGTAGGGAATTTATGTATTGGGTGGATATTAGAACTGTACAGTTATACTAGCAATGATATTCTCAAAGGTGATCAATAGTTGTAATTCAAAAAAGACTTACATATATACAAATAAAAACCAACTTAGGGTACTACAAGTTTATTTTGGCTGTGACTGGCCATGTCAATACATAATCTCCACATGTGATTTTATTGTGTTTCCTTTGGAGTACTTTATAAAGATGGAGAAATGAGAGACTGAACCATTAATACAATCCCATTTCTATTTTGTAGCTGGGCGACTTTGGGAAAGTGACTTCACTTTTTTGAGTACTAGCTTTCTCACCTGTAGAAAAAAGCACAGTAAAATAATACCTACTTTAGGTGCCTGTTTTGGGGAGTAAATTGATACCTAGACAGTCCTTTGCCAATTTCAATGAAGTAATCAATGCTGCATAGATGGGAGCTACTGTTACTATCTCTATTAGAATTAAAGGGGCCTTAATAACCGTTTAGTCCTGGACCTTATGTATCATTGGTATCTGTATGCACAATTGTACCAATTAAATCCAGTATCAATCTTTTCTTTTTCTTTTAAATCATGAAGTAAAGATGGTTAATCAAATTTTAGTTCATGTGATGAAGAGTTAACCCTCACCAAAATGAAGTGCTTTATTAAGTGTTCACTGCTCACCTAAGTTTCTAAGTTTTAACTTTTTATAAATTAAGGGTATATATGTATACATATATGTACATATATATATTCTTAGAAAATACAGAAAATTATCCCCCTATATACAGACCCATCATATTCCTAATCATTAAGTCATTCCTAATCTGTCTTTTCTGGGTGCAAAGTTAATTCTTCATTCTTGAGCGTCTTCTCTGCAGGGCCAACTTTTCACGGTGGTAGTTTCCTAATATGTCCTCTAAATATTAAAATGTCTGGAGGGAGGAGAATGTAGTGGTGAAAAGATAAGACTTGGAGTCAAAAATTATGGGTTTGAATTCTTTCTCTGTGCAGGTTTGTGTGACATTGAATAACAAACCACATCTTCATTCACCTGTAACTTAGAGACGGTACAGATAAAGCTTTGGATCACTGGGCCAGAATATTATTACTTGTAGGTCATTGATAATAACCATTTGGAAATATGTCTATTTCTTTTTGGTATAATAATAAATCCTTGTTTTTTTATTGTCAGGTATTGTACTAGGAGCATTTGCATCCATTATCTCATACACACAAGATTCTAAAATAATTATAAACACACTGACTTTTGACTGCCTTCAAAGCTAAATATTGGCCTCAAATATGCCTTTCATTCTCAATTTAGCTGTGATGGTTTTACGTAGCTTAGAACCAGTTGCTATAACAATATAACAAATTAACCCACAACTTAGTTGCTTGGAACACCATTTTATTCTTCGGGATTCCGTGGGTCAGGAATTCAGACAGCACATGGCAAAGATGGCTTGTCTCTGCACCGCAGAATCTGGGGCATCAGGTGGAAAGATTCAAAGACTGGGCTGACTCAACGGCTGGGAGCTAGAATCACCTGAAGCCTTGTTCACTCATGTATCTGGAGCCTGGGCTGGGACAACTCAAAGACTAGGACTGCTATTCAGTGTGCCCACACGCGTTCTCAACATGGTTTGAATTCCTCACATTATGGCATCATTAAAGTAGTCAGACTCCTTTCATGGTGGCTTGGGACTTCAAGAGCAAGTATTTCAGCCAACAGGGAGAAGCTGCACTACACTTTATGAACCAGCCTTGGAATCACATCACTTCGCTTCTGCCATACTCTGTGGATAGAAGCACAAGCCCACCCAGATTTGTGGGGAGGGAATATAGGCTCCATTTCTTAATGAAGAGAGTTTCAAAGAATTTGTAAGCAAGTTTTAAAACTGCCACAACCCACTTTCTGGCCACAGACTACTTACATTACTGCCATATGCAAAATAAATTCATCCCCTCTCAAGAGTCTTCCTAAAAATATCATCTCACTACATCAGACTCAGGGTCAAGGTCTGGGATCTTGTCATCTAAGTTCAATTCAGGTGTGGATAAAGACTCCTCGGGTGTAATTCCTTGGATACATTCTTTTAGGTCAGAAAGCCTGTAAACTTAGTTAACAAGTCATCTGTCACCACACTCACAACACTGAATGGCGAGACGACCAGTGGATAACCACAACAGATTCTTGCATTCTGAGAGCGAGAAGATGAGAGGCACAAAGCAGCACTGGTCCATAGAATTCTGAAATTTCGTGTGACGCGTGTTACTATTTCACTGCTCACAGCACAGTCCTACTCCCTGTGAGTTGTTCTCTGCAGCTCTTGACCCCACCATGTAGAATCTGGGTGCTGCCTCTGAGTTAGCCTTTTTGTTTGTTTGTTTTGTCTATAAGATATGGCTGGTATTTGCAACTGAGTAGACTTCTTAGCCTGTTTCCTGCCTGTAAATGTTTGGTGGTAGAGATGCCTTTTTAAATTTTTTTAAATTTGTCTCTCTCTCCATTGCAGGCTGATACATTTCTTTTAAAAACTTTGTGAATTTCCAGTGTATAAATTCATGATCCACTCCATTAGGCAAAAACTACACTCACAAATCTTTTCTGTGAAGATGCTGTGGAAATAATGATTCTTAGAAGTTCTATTTTCTTAAAAGTGAGCATGTGTACAGCACATGCTTAAGATGCTTAGAAGGTCTTTTGCCTTTTGAAAGGCTCTGGTAGTCAGTTTCAAAGATGCCTTCCAATGATCCTTGCTTATGGTGTCCATGCTCCTTTATAATCCTCTCCTCTTGAGTGTTGGCTGAATCTAGTGACTTCCTTCTAGCAAATAGAATATAATAAAAGTGATGGGAAGTCACTTCTGAGATTATGTTACAAAGTGAATCTGCTTCTGTCCTGTTCACCTTCTCTTGCTCTCTCATTTGCTTGCTCTGATAGAAGCCAGCTGCCATGATGTGAACTTCTCTGTGGAGAGGCTCATGTGGCAAATAACTAAAGGAACCTCTAGCCAACAGCCAATGAGGAAATGAGGCCCCCAGTCCCACAACCTGTGATGAACTGAATCCTGCCAACAACCGCAGGAGTGAGCTTGGAAGTAGATCCTCCTTCACTTGAGTCTCCAGATGAGACTGTAACCTTAGCCAATACTTGGTCAGAACCCAGTGAGAATCCATGAGCCAGAGGAGCCAGATAAACAACTCCCAGATTCCTGACCTGCAGAGACCGTAAGATAAGAAGTGTGTGTTGAATTAAAGTACTAGGTTGGGAAGGAAAGACGGACATGAAGTAAGGGAAACAAGAACAAAGTGGACACAAGAGAACAAACTGGCAAGCCAGAACCCAAGAAGACAAACTTTTGAATCTGTGTCTGTCTTTCATGGTTGCCAACCTTGGCCATATGGGTGGCTTGCAGGATAAGCTGACACCTTTCACGTGTACCTGGCTCGGGATGTGCACATGCCAAAGGAGCAATCTGGCTGGAGCTAAAGGAACCACAAGCCTGAATGCTGCCC